CATTTGTAGAGATGCAGCAGGGAGGTATTTAAAGAGATGCAAATTATCACCTAGTCATGATACTTGGCCTTGGTTAGAGTTTGTAGGGTTGGGAGAGGCATTCTGTAACTTTCATGCTGTTACACTACTCAAACGTCTACTCACCCCATATAGAGAACCAATGACAGACCAAAATAGGAATACTACCAAAGTCCAACTTGATAAGTCAATGAGTTTTGTGTGGTTACTTATAAGAGTGTAGGTGTGAGAGTACTTACTGGAGCAGAAACGAGACAGTTGTGTCATTACAAAGCCCATTACAACATGGATAAAGTTGCATGAAAGCTGGAATCTCAGAGTTCACTGCAGAATTTGCAGATAGTTTGACAGGCAGATCAATCAGTCTGAGCCTCTTCCAGGCAGTTCAACCTTCCCTTTTCAGGATCTTCTCAGGCAGCACTGCCCCTCCAAAAGCTAAAAGATGCCTTCAAAGTTGGACCTACTGGAAGTAGGCAAGTTGGCTGATCTCTGTCTCTTCCAGGAAGTTCAGCTGTTTGAAACTCTAATGAGCAGCTCAGCATGTCTAAGAATATCTCATAACAGTCCTGACTGTTTACATAAGCTTGGGAAAGGAGGGTTCTAGACTTCTGGTCAGTTTCATGGACTTCCTGAAACTATTGAGATGTTTATTTACTGACACTTTAAGTAGCTTCTCTGAAGGACTGCATGTTTCACTTCACTTCAGAAGATCCTATCTTAAGGAGCTTCCATAAAATGGAAAGTTTTATCTTGGAGGAAATAGCTACATAACACTTGTCAAGTACAAATTTGTGTATCATGTTCCCTACACATTTTGACAAAATGCACCTAAATCTTTAAGTGTAAACCAGATAATCAGTTTCATAGCCTTTCCCCTAAAGAATAAGTACTCACTGTTGTGTTTGAAAACAGTTCTTAGCTGGGTGGTGGTGGCGCACGCCTTTAATCCCAGCATTTGGGAGGCAGAGGCAGGTGGATCTTTGTGAGTTTGAGGCCAGCCTGGTCTACAAGAGTGAGTTCCAGGACAAGCTCCAAAGCTACAGAGAAACCATGTCTTGAAAAAACCAAAAAAACCAAAAAAAGAAAGAAAGAAAGAAAGAAAGAAAGAAAGAAAGAAAGAAAGAAA